ACGGAGGGCTAGCAGCAGTAAATAACCTTCTCAAGGTCGCAGTGAGTGGGAAATAGGACATTTAAATTCATTGTATGACCCGAGAGCCCATTTGCTTAGCCAGTGTATTCTAAGTAGAGTGTGAGCTTCTGGTAGGGGTTGAAGGGAATTTATTTATAAATCTCACATTCCTTCATGTAATTCAATTTTTTAAATGACCACACATGCAGAGATAAGTTTGGGCTTAAAAAAGAATGAAGCTAGGAGCTGTTTGTTTTCCTAAAACTTGCTACAGTGACCCTCTCAATGCAAATCCATCTTACGCAGTATTAAAAAAAATGAGTGAAATTAAAGTAGTCCCTTGAATTACCTGTTTAAGATGCGTAGTGATGCAACTTAAAAAATCTTACAGTAATAGAACTGAGATAGTACTACCAACCTAAAAATTCACAGTGCTAACATTGTAGCCAAATGAAATAGGATGCATTCGTTAACACTTGCAAGTTACTTTCCAACACTTTGCTGCTCTTAAATGGTCCATACCCTTTTTCAGTTTATTGTAAGATCTCAGAGATGTATTATAAGATGTGACAGAAGTGACACTTATTAGATGAAGTATAGTCAGACTCGCCAGTTCACAGCGATAAAAAAAATCCTTGAAAGCTCACTGGAAAAGTGTAAACCTTTCATAGTTTATAATGATTGTAATGAAAGTTACATTGCTGTACATTTTTGGCATATTTGTGCAAGCTTCCTGCATTTGTGTTTGCTGTTGTTAAAGAAAGTATTGTTAGAAGTCACTCAGTGTTCATATTAATAAAACTCAATAATTAAGACAATTTGTATTATTTATTAGTGGTACTGTCACTAAAGTGTGGGGCAGCTGGAGGGTCATGTGGAATCAGCATTGTGAGCACATATTTATCGAAAACACACCTGGTGTGAAGTTGAGAGCAGCCTACAACAATCGTGCATTCTTTGTTGTATTAACTCATTACGATTTAAATATCTTTAATGTTCTTCTGTTTTCTCTAGGGATAAGTACTAAAAAAATTATTCAGTTATTTTTCTGGAACAATATCAAAATTTGTATCTGGCTGAACACATCTGGCCTTACACTCTTCAGAGGAAGTGAACCCATGTTCTGTGAGTGATCCCCTGGGTAAATCTGCAGCCCCACAGAGGAGAAGCAAGAGCGAATTCCAGTGATTTTTCTCCACCGAAATAAAATCAAAATTCAAACATTACATAACAGGCTGTTGCCCTCTGCACTTACTTTGGTCTGTTGGAGTCCGTGGCGGGGAGGAGAGACAGAAGCCGACAGGGATGGTGGTGATGGAGGTGGAGAAGGAGAGAGTTGCCGATGTTGCAGTTGTTGGTGAGAGGGTGTGGACTGGTCTTGTGATGCCGTTTTGAAAGTTCTTTTCCTGGTGATAGTCATGCTCTCCTTGTTGACTCTGCCTTGTGAAGATGAGTGGTAGCAGGTGGTGTAGCCTGGTGCAGGTCATTCTTCTTTCCAGTGTACAACGTGAAGCAGAGACCTTGGAGAATCTTTTCCTGACCCTAGTGACATCCTTTTTTAAACTCTAATGTTAAGAGCTCCTACCCCAGAAAAAAGAAATTATTCGAGTGCTGAAGACTAAAAAGGACCTTTTTTCCTTTAACTTAAAGAAAAATAAAACATTCTGTTTACTTGTTTTAAAAATTGGGAAGTGGGAACATAACATTCTTCAGTGTAACTGTTGACCTGGGGGTTGGCTCTTCCTGGGTTGTCCCCTTAGCGAATAGAACAGCATTGCCCTTTGGATCAAAGGAAGCCCCGCCTGATCTAACCAGATCTCTGTTTGAGATGCCCTAGGCTTTGCTCTAAGTCAGCACTTCCAACTCTGCACTGTCATTTAGGACGGGCAGTTCTCTATCCCGGGGGGCTGTCCTGTGCTCTGTAAGAGGCTCTGCAGTGTTTCTGGCCTCCAACCACCAGATGCCAGGAGCACCCCACCCCTCCAGTTGTGACAACCAAAAATGTCTCCAGAATATTTTCTAGATATTAGCTTTACTTTTAAATATTTTGTCATATTTTAAGCATTTTCGTGTAGAATAAGCTTTACTTCTAAGAACTGTGAAAATAAACTGGAAGCATATTTTGTGATTTGGGGGTAAAAGTGAGGACGAGGTCTTCCTTTGGTTTGAGAATTCACCGTTTGACCTCTGGACGCAGAGGACGGTGTTTGTCCGAGTGCAGCTGGGGCTCCTTCGGTGGGGTGGGAATACGCACATGGGAGTGAGGGGGATCACAGTGTAAAATGGGGTTCTTGCTTTGGAATAACAGAGAAAAACATTTGAAAATGCTGGCCTGGTGGGTATAAGCCCAGCCTTCCCTTTCCCAGTTCCCTCGAACTGGAACCTTCTAAACATGGACTCCAGGGCAGTAGGTGTTTGTCCTCCAGGTAAGCTACTTATCTGGTCAGGTGAAACTTACCGTATCGTCTTGGAAACACGACACATGCACACGTATTTGTTGCAGTGGACTGAGACTTGCTTTTAACCTTGGTTTCTGGTGCGTATCGTCTTGTTTGTGAGAGGAGGAAGCTCTGAACGCCATCGCATATTTTAGAACATTCTTGGCACGTTACTTGGGACTGTTCGTGCCCTCCCCCTCACAAGATACTGAAAAAAGACAGCTCCATTTTAATTGTTTTCTTCATCAGCATGCACGCAAAAGTCCTGTTTTTCATCAGTTAGTATTTATTTTGTTAACTTTTGTAGAAATTATGCTTTATAAAGGGCAAGAAACGTTTTGTGTATTTACTGAAAATCAAGCATAAATATGAGCATAAAGACATCTAAAAATTACTTCTAACACTCTGCTTGTGCTCTTTTTATAAAATTCATTTTAAAATGACAACTGTAAGTTAAATAATAGCCTATGGGGATACATTAAATGTGACAATCTGCCATTACTAAGTTGTGAATTCAGCTGTTAATAGGAAATTCTTGACTTTCTGAAATCCATCAACACTTCCAAACACTGAAAAGGCTGCCTTAGTTTCTATTCACTAAAGGAAATAGTTATATTTCGAGTTTTTTTGTTTATTCAGTGGCTACTTATAAAGATTGAAGTGCTTCCAGAAAGCATGTTTTCATCTTTTCTATAGTGAGAACATTTCAGACTGGTTTCATAATGTTAGAAACTCTGTCTCAGGATAGTTGTTTTTTTTTCCTAAGGAAAAATGTTAGTGATTGTTCAAAAGTTATTTGTATTACAATTCGTTTATTTTCACAGTGGAGGTTTTTGTATCCCTGTTTTTTACATTTAGATGATATCCAGCAGAGATATTCAAGATATTTTCATGGAAGTTTCAGGGAAAATTTGTGATTATTTTTTTTTTCCTCTGAGGTGTATCACATTCTAAGTTTTACATTCGCGAAAGATCAGTGGGTGTGTCATGTAAAGCTCGCATGCTGTTTCTTGGTGCCCTTGTATGTTGTTATGTCACTGAGCTTGGTTCTTAGGTGTGGAATGAGAGCTCGTGAGAAGATGGGTGGGGCTGAGCTCTCATCAACAGTAAGCTTGATTTGAGAGAGTTGTTCAGGGAGCACATTGCTAGTACTGACCCTTTAAGAGTAAACTAAGTAACAATACTAGTGTGGATTTGAGAATAAAACTTCTTTATCAGCAAAGGATGTGAAGTACTGTCATCAGCATCTAGGTACAGAGTTGTTCCTTCATTAAAGTTAGTTTTGAGACTAGTTGAAAATTACTTTTTTCATAGGTTAGTGTTCTGTTTCCTATTCAGTCAATTGATAAACATTTATTTTGCAGCTACTACTTGCTGGATACTGTGAGGAGTTCTTCTTCGTAGGTTTTTAAAGCCATCATTTGTTTTAGTAAATGATAGCAGCCCACATTGTTCTTAAAAACAATACATCAAGATAATAGACAGTTCTGTTACAGCCATGTGTATCCTTATTGAGATTAAAACTCAGCAGTGTCACTTTTAATACAGCTTTTTGTGTATTCCAAAAGGTGCTTATAAATAGCTCTTTTGAAGGAGAAAATACTATCATTTTAAAAAGGTTGTATTTATCTTTCTATTAGGAAGAGATTCATTTGAATCCCATCGTTAAGGAACGCTAAAGAGTCCAACTGGAACGGCCACTGAGCCGTCTTAGTCCACATTACATGCCTCCCTCTAGATGCTCAGCACAGTAACAGTCTTAGTGATGAAGGGAAGGGTGCCAGTATTTGACTTTTACAATCAATATGTTAAGTTACCTGAGTTTCCACATCCAGTTGCTGAAGAAATTTGTGGAGCAAATAATGCTGCTACCAAGATAATGAAGTTCCTTTTTCCTAATCTTTAATTAGCCATTAAACTCTTACTTTTTTCTCATCAGTCTGTAGAGAAGAATGAGGTTTTTGGAGAGGGACTACTAAAAAGTCAAATTTCGGTAGGATGTAAAATTGAACGTCATTAAATATTACTTTAATGCCTTCAGGAGGGAATGAGTTGCAGGGTGTGACATGGTCAGTAAACTGCATCATCTTGAGTGTAAAGTGTTTTTAGAAATCCTGCAGCTTCTCATGGATTTTAGAGGGGATTTGTGATATTTGTAAATAAATAGATGAAGCTAATCACAGACTTTTATTTTTATAGTTTATGTTTACTTTGAACAACAATTACTATGAATTGATACTTTTTTAAAGATTGGATTTATTATGATGTGTATATATATTTATTGCTGTTATGTTTACTTCTACTTATTAGTTTGGAAAGTTCTTTGAACTCATAGATTATAAAGGTAATCATTGATTATTTTGACCTAAGCTGGCTTCTCCTGGCTCCTGAGAGTAGATACACTAAGAACTATATCACGTGTTTTATCTTGTGTAGGGAAAGTATTGGTGGTATATCTGATGTCTTACGTATTTTAAAATCTTGACAAGAAATCTTGATTGTTTATAGCATAAGTTAAAGATTTAAGAATAATTTGTTGTTCTTTTAACTTTTTTTCAAGGTGATGGATGTGGCCATACTGTCCTAGGCCCTGAGAGTGGAACCCTCACATCCATCAACTACCCGCAGACCTACCCCAACAGCACGGTGTGCGAATGGGAGATTCGCGTGAAGATGGGGGAGAGAGTGCGCATCAGATTCGGCGACTTTGACATTGAAGATTCTGATTCTTGTCACTTTAATTACTTGAGAATTTATAATGGAATTGGAGTTAGCAGAACTGAAATAGGTAGGAAGTTTTCTTGTAAATGTACATGTAATACATCATTGCCCCCAGTTTTAAAACTAAAGCAGTTGATACTTACCGTTGAATAACTGTGCTGTATAGGATATGTGGGAAATTATTGAAAACATGTGGAAATCTCAAATTTGAATCTCATTTTGGAAGAGATAGTTTCTGTCTGTTTACTGTTCTAATGAGCCTGCATTGGTACCTTTGCAACAAGATGCTGCTGTACTACTTCTAAGAAGGAGGAAGTTAATTATCTCATTTTTTGTTTGTTTTTCTTTGATCATTTTATTTGCAGAAGAACACAAGTGTAATTCATGTTTAGGAGGCAGCATGTCACGGTGATTAAGGGCATGGGTTTTGGATCCAGACTTCCTGGTATTAAATTCCAGCTCTGCTCTTAGGTTGCTGTGTGACCTTGGCCACATTACCTGACCTCTCCATTTCCTCACTTAGAGAATGAGCTAGTACATGTACTGTGCTTAGAACAATACCTAACACATGATATAAGCTTGTTAATATCAGCTGCCATTGTTCTTCTTAGCTAAGAGCAGTGCTTCTCAGGTATGGCTGCAGATTGGAGTCACCTGGGAGGACTTTTAAATAATACTGTATCCCTAGTTCCCATCCCTGACCAACTGAATCAGAATCGATGGTGGGACCCACGCCTCAGTATTTTAAAGGCTTCCCAGGAGACTCTACTTTGTAGTCAAATTGAGAACCTTTGTCTCAGAGATCAGCACCTTTCTTTTAAGCAAGAAAGGTATAAAAATATGTAGGGCTGTTTTGGTGAACTAACATTAAAGAAAGAACTCTTGGATTCTCTGTGAGTTAATTTGGAAACATCTATTGGTACAAATGTGTAAAACGTCTTTTAGAACTGTAGTTGGAACCCAGTATCATGATCCTTAAGCGTCGTGTTCATCCTCTGGCCTCCTCTCCATCTCCAGTCAAATCCTTTGTCTCTTCTCTCCTTGTGGCCTCTGATTAGAGAGGCGCACTACCTGCCTGCTCACTGATAGCCTGTGTTGTCTCTCCATCAGCTTGTGATCACCACGTGCATATTGCCGTGACTGTGTGGTCTCAGATAAGCTTTTAGGAACTCAGATCGCCTATGGATCTAGAAAACGCTATCACCGTAAGGCTAACAGAAGACAACTGCATGTTGAATGCCCCTGGGGGTGATGCTGTGGGGAGTAAACAGTGCCACTGAGCAGTCTTGCAACAACAGTGAGGAAAGATGAGCCACAACCTGCTGCTAGAGAAACACGTTTTATCAACCATGAAGACGGTGTATAAATGGCATTTTAGAAAAGGGGGAGGAGGTGGAGGAGGAACTGTCATACATTAGGAGATACGTCTTCCAAAAGTAGTGCGTGGGCCTCGTTTGGATCTTGATTCAAGTTAACAAACTACAAGAAGACGTTTTTAAGATAATCAAAAATTTTAAGAGAAATGGGGCATTCGATGATAGTGAATGATTGTTTTTGGTTTGGTAATGTTATCATCATTATTTTTTTAAGTTCTGATTTGTTAGAGGCGTTCTGAAGTTCAGACGAAATGTCTTGGATTTGTTTTTAGATGTTTCGGGGAGAAAGGTGGCAGGGACCTGTAGACTAAGAATGGACTGTAGGAGGAGCTGAGCCATGGCACCTGGGGGCGTTGGGCCCTCCTCGTTCTACTTTTGTGTATTTTTGAAAATTTCCATAATGAAAAGTGTTTTTTTTAAAGTAAAAGTAGGCAAGAGGGTTCCACATTTGGACACCAAGGACTGTCGCTGTAGCTAGAGGAGGGGTGACGTGGGAAATGGTGAGCCCCGTCTTTAACTCGCTGCCTGAGTTCTTGTCGCAGCTCCGGGCCTCGCTTGCTGAGTCCTTCCTGCACATGCCTGGTCCTGCTTGGACTACAGGGTCGTCGTTGGCACTGTCGGAGGATTGAGTGAAATAGGACTTTGCAGAGCTTGGCGTGTAATAGGTGTGCAGTCAACCTCTGCTCTCCTACTCCACTGTTCCTGTGTTTCGTTGTTCTCTCTCCACACAGGAGTGGAAACTGCAGGAAGGTCCAGGGCCTTGAGTGATGCTGTTCCTGTTGGGTTTTATTTTGGCGCCCCCATCACCACCTACCAGGTCCTGCTGGTCCTACATTGGGATAGCAGCCTATGGTTAGTGGTAGAAAGGTCACTTTCCTGACATTGCAGAGAAATAGGGATCATTGGAGAACAGTGTTTAATGTTCTGGTTCAGGTGGATATGCAGAGAATTACAGGATAGAAGCAGATACGTTGTGGGCATCAAGATTCCAGTGCCCATGGTAATGAAGCCTCCTTGTCCTGTGTCCTCTTTTCTTGGTGCCCCTTCTGAGACGAGGCAGGCCCAAATAAGCTGCATTTCCCTATAATAATGTTTCCTATTTTGGTGTAAAGCTTAGGGTTTTGGGGTTTTTGTCTATAGGTGTTCATTTGGGGGATTTTTGAGAATTATGGAATATTGGTATTATGGTATAATGATATGGAATAATCAAGAAAGGGAGAATGCTTTCTCAAGGAATCATTTTTTAATCGTAAATTCACTAGAACGTGTTTTAACTGATACGGCACTTCTGGCTTCCTTGGCGGTTGGACAGTTATTTTCTGTTCTCTTAAAAAGGGTAATTGTAATATTACTTAAATACACCAGTTTATTATGATTTCTTATTACTACTTTCTAAATCGCTGAATGCCCAGGTGTCTTTGTGAACTTACTCAGGGTCGCGGTGCTGGTTTCCCTGACGGATGGGGTGTGCTTACTGATGGGGTAGGTTGCGCTCTCCGTCTGAGCTCTGTCCCTGCTGAGCAGAGTCCATAATCTCAACTGCCAGGCGATGGCCTCCTAGAGTAATAGATATCAGCTGTTACTCCTTCATCTTTTACTGTTTGGTCCCCCACTGCCAACTGTTGAAACTAGCAACTTTTTAGTGAACACTTTTTTTGTTTGTTTATTTTGACTTAATTTCAGATTTAATAGAAAAGTTGCAAGAATGGGGTAAATAATCTCCATGTACCTTTCACCCAGATTTTCCATGTTAACATTTACCACATTTTTATCCCTCCCACACATACACACACTTTTTTTTCTAAACTGTTTGAGAGTAAGTTTCAGGCATCATGTCCCTTTACCTCTGTATACCTAAACTTTATTTCCTAAAAATTGGGACATTCTCTTTACATGACCGCAGAACAGTTATCAGAATAAAGGGAATTAACGTTGTTGTGGTGCTAGCTACAGGCCTTATTCAGATGTCTCCGAATGTCCAAATAACGTCATTTATAGGAAAGAAATTCTCAGGTTATGTGTTGTGTTCGGTTGTCACATCTTAGTCTGCGTTACTTTGGAGCTTAGAGGAGAGGACAGGTCTTTGGTCTCCTCATGTTTCTTGATGTTGACATTTTTTAAGTACTTGGACAGTTATTTGGTAGGATATTCCTTAATTTGGTTTGTCGTCTGTCTCCTCATGATTAGATTCAGGTTACAGACTTCTGGCGGGAATGCCACAGAAGGGTGTTCTCGGTGCGTTGTGTCAGGAGGCACACGATGTCCTTTTGTTCATTACATGGTGGTAACTTTGGTCTCCTGGTTCATTGATGTCTCCCCGGTTCCTGCTGTAGCCATGTTTCCCTTCATATCAACACCCATCTTGTGGGGATGCTCTCTGAAATAATGTAAATACCTTGTCACTCGTCACACTCACACTCACTAGTTTCGGCATCCATTAATGATTCTTGTCTGAGTCACTTGTTATTATGGTAATTGTCAAGTGCTGATTTTCTAATTTCATCATTACTTCTATGTTTATTAGTTTTTTTTTTTACTGAAAAGGTGAGCTTTTCCTTTGCTTCCATTTATTTGTTTGCTTATATCATTGTGGACTCATGGATTCTTGTGTTAGTCCATGGTTTATAATCCTTTACTGTCGTCGTTTATTTTGATGTTCAGATTGTCCTAGATTTCCATTGTGAGTCTCTTTGGGCTAGCCCCTGTGTCCTTTTGTGAGGTCCTCATTGTTCTTTGAGTACTTTCTTCTGGTCTGGCACAGGATATTCCAGATTTATTTTGTACTTGCTCTGCCTCAGCCCTGAAATCAGCTACTTCTTCAAGGAACTCATGTTCTTTTTAATGGAAAATAGTTGTTTAGTAGCATTTTGTTTAATCTCCACATATTTGTGACTTTTCCAGTTTTCTTCTTGTAGGTGATTTCTAGTTTCATACCCTTGTGGTCAGAAAAGATGCTTGGTATTATTTCAGTCTTCTTAAATTTGTTGAGACTTGTTTTGTGGCCTAATATGTGATCCATTCTGGAGAATGTTCCATGTGCATTCGAAAAAAATGTGCATTCTGCAGTTTTTGGATGGAATATTCTGTATATATCTATTGAGTCCATCTGGTCTAATGTGTCATTTAGGGCCAGTGTTTCCTTATTGATCTTCTCTCTGAATGATCCATCCATTGATGTAAGTGTGGCTCTAAAGTCTCCTACTGTTACTGTGTTACTGTCAGTTTCTCCTTTTATGTTTGTTAATATGCGCTTTATGTATTTAGGTGCTCCTGTGTTGGGCACATGGATGTTTACAAGTATTATATCCACTTGTTGGATTGTCCTCTTTATCATTCTGTAGTGTTTACATTTGTCTCTTTGTCTGTCTTATTACAGTTTTTGTTTTAAAGTCTATTTTGTCTGATGTGTGTTGCTACTCCAGCTTTCTTTTTGTTTCCATTTGAGTGGAGTATCTTTTTCCATTCCCTCACTTCCAGTCTGTGAGTGTCTTTAGATCTGAAGTGTGTCTCCTGTATGCGGCATATATATGGGTCTTGTTTTTTTTTGTCTATTCAACCACCCTGTGTCTTTTGGTTGGAGCATTTAGTCCATTTACTTTTAAAGTAATTAGTGATAAGCATGTACTTACTGCCATATTGTTACTTTTTTCCTGGGTGTTTCAGTAGTTCTTCTCTGTTTCTTTCTTTTTCT